ACCTACTTGTTTGGAGCTTCGTAGTACAAGCGTAGCGCGTAGCCACCGCTAGCGCGGGAACTCGGCTGGCAAACTCGCGCTCTGTTTGGTCGCGGTTTTTCGTTAATATCTCTCTAACGAAGCCTCAGATTACATTGTTACTAAGGAAAAAGTTGTTCCAATTCACCCTCCGAGTGCCCCATTTCCGGGTCGGAGGATATTTTTGGGACACCCTGTATACACACCAATATCAATTTGTCATTTGGTGTCTGATACAGTTGATTGCACTGCTATCAAATGTAGAAGTACTTTTTCAAAACGGACTTGATTTATGCATGAAAGTTGAAACTTGAACAATTATAGAATGGTAATTTCATTAAAATATTTTAAAGTCATTTCAATAAACCTACTGGTTCAAAGGATGTGGCTCATGGTTTCCAAGGACTGGATATACTGGAATAGTATCAAAAATTTCATACATTTTGTTATAAATTTGTTCAAGGTTTTTTGTATTTCCTTCCTTTGAAGTTTCCCATACTCCATGATCTATTACGTCACCAGTAAAATATATGTAATTGATATCCTTTAAATTAAAGTATACTTCATTTAATATTTAATTCACAATATTTCACAGTATGTTTTTAAATTTACAATTAATTTCTTAAGTTATAACCACATATTTTTCTTGCGAGATAGAATTTTATTTGCATTTGCTTTAATTTTAATTTGCAGTTTAGATTAATTTCAAGATACTAAAAAGTGTAGTGGAAAAGAGAAGTGTACATATTGCAAGGTTAAATATTGTGATTGACTATGATGACAGGCATCATGTTTTACTTTTCCACAATGAGCTGCAACTTTCCAATGAAAGTAAGTGACATAAACTTTAATGTGTGTGACATAAATTTCATACAAAATTAGATGAATTTTATGAAGTATCTCGAGGATCAGTTATAAGCTGAGATTGTTTATTTAACTTTGCAATATTTAAAATGTTAATCTTCAAAATGAAGATTATCCATTATCCACTACAGTGTTTTACTGCACATATGTGCACCATCATAAATCATTTTTGGACTATTTCCTTACATTGAATAATTAATTAGCATCAAAGGAAGTTACTATTTCTATAATTTTATTCTCTTCCTTGACTTTTTCAAAGTATATACATATTCCTTTCCCAAATATATAGGGTGTAACAAAAATGTATATACCAATCGCAGTAATGGGCACCATCGATTAAAATTTTGCTTTATAAGTTATGTATAGATTATGTCATCAACTTTTCAGCACCATTGGTGTATTTACCTTTTGGAAAGGCTTAACTTTACTTCCTCGGACCAAAAATTATCGACTTTTTTTATATCTTCCGGTAGTATTCAACGAGTAGAATCTAAAAATGCAAGTTTTAAGTTTAGGATTCCAGCGGTTCAAAAGTTATGCGTATGTAAAGCCAAGCATTTTTGGCGTACTTTACAGGTTATTTTAACGCCATATTGGGTTCTATACCAAATTCGTCCAATCAGTGGTGTCACTGCTTGTAAGGAGATGCACGTGTCGGCGGCCATTTTGGCGGGATAATTCAAATGTGCTTGTAAAGAGGAATCACTTAATCAAAGCGAAATACTGATTTTGAGGTTTGATCTAGTTCAGGTGGCGGGGAAGGGGTTGGGGGAGGGGCGGAAGGCCCTCTCCCAAAACAACAGACGACTTTTTACGATTATTTATTAACTAAGTCTAACCAACTCAGAATCAGTATTCCGCTTTGAATAAGTGATTCCTTTTTGCAAGCACATTTGAATTATCCCGCCAAAATGGCGGCCATCACGTGCATCTCCTTACAAGTAGTGACACCACTGATTGGACGAATTTGGTATAGAAGTCAATATAGCGTTAAACTAGCCTGTAAAGTACGCTAAAAATGCTTGGTTTTACATACGCATAACTTTTGAACCGTTGGATTCCTAAACTTAACACTTGCATTTTCAGATTCTACTGGTTGTATACTACCAGAAGATATAACAAAAAGTCGATAATTTTTTATTCGTGGAAGTTAAGTTTAACCTTTGGAAATGTATTAGTTCATAGATAGAATTTCAAAAATATAAGTGATAAACAAGTTTTTTTAAACAATTACTAATATTCGATTTTTTGTAAGCTATTTAATATTGGTATTTAAAAAATTAACTGCTCTAAATATTTTATGAAAATCATTTAGGTTATAAGCAATAATTTGCACAGTTCTTGGTAATGCATAAAAAAATATATGGAAAAATTATAATTGGTTTGCATCGCGAAGAAAATAATCAAGATCCAGTAATAGCTCGATAGTTCAAGCGACTAAATTTAGTCGACTGAAAGTAGTCGTTGATTATTATCGATTTAGTCGATAGTTTTTAGTCGATGGTGTTCATCACTAACCAATCGCAGCACGTAGGCGATGAGAATGCGTCCAAATTCGAGTGTAATTGAACAATTTTTACTCATACGTAATGTTGCGGATAAAAATGATATATTATTGAAAATAGTCCAAATGATGTAGTATTTGAACTCATTTCCACCGGCAGAATCTCCTCAGTTCATTCGTGACACTTTCATTAATATATAATGAAAATTGTAATAGTTTAAATTTTCATGCATGCGTGATTCCTTATCTCATCTACGTCTGTTTACATTCTATTTATTTATTTGTTATCATTTTTGTCTGCTACATTGATTTACTCAGTTTTCGGGTAACGCTATGAGTGAAACGCCATAAATACAAAAAGTAACTTTTACTCATCGGATAATTCTTTTTTGTTCAAGCATTGAGTAACGATAAAAGATAAAGTATCTTTTATTCAAAGAGTTATTTAAATAATTTTTTATCTAGATAATTCCCATCTCTGCGCATAGTCAACGTTACCGCGGGAACTCGGCCGGCAGACTCGCGCTCTGATTGGTCAGGGTTTTTTGTTAATATCTCGTTAACAAAGCCTCAGATAACATTCTTGCAAAAGAAAAACTTGTTTCAAATCACCTCACGAGTCTCCCATTTCCGGGTCCTCCAACATTTTTGTTACATCCTGTAAATGTATAGTATTGTATCTATTTACAATTAGTATTACTGTAATTCTTATTTAAAAAGAAAAATAGAGGTTTGGTTTAAACTGATATACATTATCCAAAGTACTTTATTGTTGTTAGTGCTTCTTAAACTCTTATACATATATTAGATTTATCAAAGTACCTGATGTGTGTCTTTCATATGAGTTAAAGCGTCAACAATGGCGTGCCACGGTGTGTCACAGGATCCATAATCTCCCCAAAATCCAGCCAGTGAATTTTTTACATTAGTTTCATTCTGACCTTTCCGACAACAAAGTGGTGCTTCACAATTTGAATTGCCACTTGGTTCATAAAAGGGATCATAATGAAGGTCTGTGATATGCAAAACTTTTACTTGTTCGGTTGTTTTTTTATCTGTAATTACTGTCTTAGAACTGTTATCAATAATAATGCTCCAGTTAAATTCAGAATCAGTCAAAGGACATGATTTTGATTCTAAGACAACACCACACATTGTACTGGCTGTCAAATTTGGTTTTAGATCTATTATATGCATAATAATAGGCTAGAAAAGTAATTATACCAATTTATAACTGCATAACATGAAAAGCATATTGCAATAGATTTAAATTATTATAAATATATATTACTAGATTCAATTCAATAACTCCTTTACAGACTCCTTCTTTTTGAATATTCATTAACACACATAGTTTAATTATTTTGTTTTTTATAATTTCTTCCGACATTCCTTGTTTATGCATTTTCAAAAATGTTTTCACAGTTGCGTGACATATTCTACAAATTGCAGTATCTGTTCCTTGTGCAAAAGTTCGCCAATCAGAGTTTTGGAGCTCCGTCGGTATTTTCAGAAATTGTATCATGTTTTTAAACACTTCTGTTTCATAATTTCGCTCCACCCAGAGTTCAATTTCATTAGCAAGCAAAGAATCACTTATATCTATAAATAAATTGAATTGTTATTCTCTGTATTGTTATTAATGCTCAGATATTAATGGAGAATTGTTACATTTGTATGTAGTACCACATCATTTTAGTAACATATATTATGAATGTGTTTTAATTAAATTTATTTTGTTTAAACAATAATGTTATCCCATTACGTTGCTAAACAGAATTTATTAAACTTGTTAGGTCGCGCAATTCTCGCACTTAATCGCCGAACCGTTACACGATCCTTAGAAATGAAACCGTAACGGTGAACCGTAAACGGTACAAGTTTATGGCGATATTGTTCTTCGCCTTCGTGGTACAACACAACCGGGACCGGCTGCCGACCAAATGTTGGAACCTTCGTCTATTGTAGGGTGTCGAAAAGATTAAAAAGGTACGCTATTGAAATGAAACGGACAAGAAATAAACGCGTACATTATTACGGGAGGTTGAATAGCTAAATTGGAGTTTTGTTATAAAATAGCCGCTACTATGAACCACTATACCTGTACAACGGAACAAAACCTACGTAACATTAACATGTTTTAAATATTTGAAAACTTGTATCTAAATTGTATTTTACACTTCTCAATTGTGCACATTGTTGCAGCAATATTTTCTATCAATTTTCAAACTCTTTGTGTTTTTTTTAATATACTCTACGTCCGGGGTAGCCAACAGGCGGCTCGCGAGTAGATCTGTGACTTTATAAGATACCCGGGTATCCATGAGATATTCGAATATACATATGAGACAATCGAGAATTTCGATTCGGAAGTCGGTCACAGTCGCGTCATAGACGTATATAGACGGAGCATGAACTGAACGGGGGAGTAAGATTCGCGGTAAGGGGGGGGGGTTAGTTATAAATCGGGTAACTTCGTTCCTTTTCGGTGCTATTCAGGTATACAATCACGTTACATACATGTATGCTATGAGAGATGAAAAGAATGTACTTATTATACGTTAAAAATTCCGTATGTCATGTAGTTTGTATAGATATATGTATTTAACAAACTTAATAAATAGTATAAAGCATTAAATAATAGTACGGCACACAGCCCACCAGCCATTAAGGGGGGAGACTCCTTTGGGGCCAACTCGGAGTCGATCGAAGCGCGGATGTAAACAACCGGACGCCAGCGGAAACACAAAATCGATATTTGGGACGGCTTGATAATACATCTAGCGGCAGTATCCACAAATAAATTTGGTTCCCCGTTACCATCAAGCTGGGTTTGTGTATTTCCTACGCGAAGACAGTGTTGCCGGAAAGTATCGTGTTTCTGACGCTGTTGCCTCATGTCCCGCATGCAATTCTACCCGTGAGGAGAACGATGGAATAGCTACGGCCTACGGCTCGTGGCGAGATTTCGATTCTCGCCGAACGTCCAAGGCCAGCGACCGACCCATCGGCATACAATGTAAACAGACGTAGATGAGATAAGGAATGACGCACGAATGAAAATTTAAACTTTTACAATTTGCAATATATTTTAATGAAAATGTCATGAATGAATTGAAGAAATTCTCCCGATTAAAATGCGTCCAAATTCGAGTGTAATTTGACAATTGTTACTCATACGTAATGTTGCGGATGAAAATGATATATTATTGAAAATTATCCGAATGATGTCGTATTTGGACTCATTTCCACCGACAGAATCTCCTCAGTTCATTCGTGAC